AAAATTAACGAGCTGCTCGTGAACTTATCGAGTTGAGCTGTATTTTGGTCAGCTTAATTCATGAAGGTCTCAAGTCGAGCTCGAGTTCAAATCGATTCAACCCGAGCTGAACTTTTATCGAATTTTGACCGAATCGAGTTCGAACTACTCATAAGCTGTTCAACTTATTAAACGCCCCTATCCTCTGCCCCACTAGATTTTGTTTACCTTGTTTGATTTTGCTTATAATATTCAAGACTTGAACTATCTCGACAAATGCGTTTGGGTCTATCTTGTGTGGGTTCGATTCCAAACGTTTATCTTGAATGGAATATCTCTCTACTAAATCAAAAAAAATAAACTGTGATTATCCGTTTTCTTGTGCTTCAATGTTACAATGTCTCTCCCTTACCGTCGAGGAAACCATCCTCATTTCTCACTACAACTTCAGCCAAATTGATCCCTGAGATTGTGTATGTTAACAGAGGAAGGTTGAAAAATGTGATGAAATCTCGGTCTTAGATAAACAGATTCTTCCTTTTAAAATGTGTTACTTTTTTTTTTGGTATCAACATTGTAACACCCCTAACCCATACCTGACCCGAATATGAATCCGAGGTGTCACATTAACTTTTCAAATCATAGATAATTAGCAAATAAGGACAATTTAAATTTTTACTCATAAATAACAGGTGGAAATCCTTAGTTTAAAATAAAATAACAAATTCACATTCATACTTACATAAAAGCTTTAATAATTTACATAAATACAAAACATACGAGTTTACAAAATAGACCAGAGTATTTCCAATTAAACGTATAATACATGCCAACAGTTTACACAATTTCAGAAAACCTACATTCAATTGGTCTTGATCTGATCTTCCAGGTAGTACACTATCCTCTCCTAGCTTTAATCTTTCGATTTTTTCAACCCTACACGTGAGGAAATCACACGCTAAATCGATGACTTAGTGAGGCAAATACTAAGAGTACTAAACTTTATAAACGAAATCTTTATTTGTTTTGATCGAAACATTTCATAAAGAATTCCAAATGATTTTACAGAACATGAGGGTATATTTTTGTATATTATTCATTGTATATAACTTTGTTTCCAAATGCCCAACGTATACTACTAAGAACTCTAGGTATTTGAGTATATTGAGGTTGTGCACTAATGTTGTCACCACATCTCGTAATTTGCACCGAAGTGCCACATAATTGTCCCGAAGGACCACATAGAACCCTCGACACTTGGCATGCCAACTATACCTCTAATCCTCATACATATACCTTGAGCTTTTAACCACGTAATTATTTATCATTCATTATTCAAAGTATCTCTTATTCACATATGCTCTTTCACATTGAGTCTTTTCGGATACACATGTTCAAATATATCATTTCCATAATCATATACACATAATCATAAAACATATCTTATATAAGATAATTTAAATAAAACATTGTAACATATAACATAAAAGAAATTGAAAGGTTTTCGATCGAAAACACTAAGGTTGGCTTATCGCAAGCCTTCCTCAATTCTAATATGAAACCGAGAAGTTGCACTTAACGAAGTCCTTAATACTTTTGGATTGAAACTTATAATGTCGAGCTGACCGGAGGTTGATTATGTTCAACAACTACACAAAACAATCGAAAATCAATATCATACTTCAAGTTACTTATATCCAATCATAATAACTTAAGCTGAAAGAAACACTTAATTTCTCATTTTATGCTTAGTAGTATCGGTACTACCATTACAGTACCAATACTTCCCTTCAATGGTATTGATACCCCCTATGGTACCGATACCATTTTGACGTTTCGGAAATTTATCTTGAAAATGGTATCGATACTCCCATTTCAGTATCGATACCCTCCTCAACCAGTAGCGATACCACCCTAAGAATACCATTGATTTTAGCCTTGAAGTATCGGCACTGTTCTTCCAATACCGATACCCCAAGCCCAGAATTGTCATTTTCAATTAAAAAATCAACCAAAAGCTTCCTAACTCTCTTGCTTTTGATCCCTCATTAAGCCTTTAAACTCAAACTTATACATCCAAACCAACTTGTCTTCATTTACAACTCCCTATCATACAAAATCTCATTAGAACACTTACATCTAAAAATCATATCATGTTTTCAACCAAGTTCTTAATCATTTCTATTACTCCTAATTCTTTAGTTTGCTTATTGACAAGTCAAATTCATCACTAGAACTCCAGAAACTACACTATACGAAATATTCATTTCAATACCCATTTTACAAATCCCTTTCTAATACACTCATCTTGTTCTTTTAATCCATTACAAGCTTTCCTTAAGCTTTTATAACACCCAAGCTATCAACACCAACCAAATAATTTAGAAACCAACAAAAATCATAGAACTTACCTTTGCAATGGCTTCCACGGGCAAGGAGAAAGAAGATAGAAATGTTTCCAGACTTTTCCCCTTCTATTCCACGTGTTATATCCCTTAAAAGAGAGAAGAAGATAGAATCTTTCAGGTGAAAAGACCATATTTCCCTTCCACTAATCCAAATTTAAGATCAAGCCATGACCGAAAATTTCCACAATAAGTCCTTGAATTTTCAAATTATTCTAATTAAACCACTAAATTTTGAGTTCTTACATTCTGGTCACTGACCCGATAAGTGGAATGTTACAAGCATGTCTTGAACTGAATTATTAATTATTAGGAGGGTCTAGAAATGTAATATCTCTAAATGCAATTTAGACTTTGTGACGGGTATTTAGAATATTATTGATCGAATTTATTTGTTGTCGGGTTTAGAGACAAGTTAGAATCAAATATTAAGATATTAGATTATTTTAAATTAAAAGAAAATGATTTTATTAAATATTTAAATATGAAAATTAAGAAAAACAAAAATCTTATCTAACAAATATTTGAAAAGAAAACCTAGTTTGCAATTATACTAAAAAAAATTGAGAGGAACAATCTCAACCACTTAAAAACTTCGTCTCACACCAAATAATTTATCAAAAAGTGAAGTTTTTACTACTAAAATCACATAATGAGTTGGTGATGATCAAAGATGTTATTGAATATAAGTTGGGCAGTCTCCAAGTTTGATATTTGGGACTGCCCTTGGTAACAATAACAAATCACTCTCTCTTACGTAAAGTTGTCAGAGCACGATTAACCTTTGAATTTGAAATCATTGCTATATACTTGGTATTGACCATAATCACAAGAACATTATGTAGTCTGACTAAGAGGGGAAAAGGTTAAGGATTTATCCACTATGAGATATCACGTTGTTCAATGACTCCTAGATGGTGTCAGAGTAAAGGATCGTCAATAAGGACGTATTCTTATCCAAGATTTGTATCATTTGATGATGTCATGTGAATCACTAGAAATATGTGAAGTATATGACTATCCCAATAACAAAAGTTTCTTAAGGGGATTGGAGCAGGATACCATAAGACAAAAAATCTTTCTAAAATATTCAAAAATCTAGAAATAGAAATAGAAAATTTAAAATTTTAATCTTTTTATAAAAAAAATAAAGAATGCAAAATTTTTATTTTTTTCTCTTCCCTTTTAATACACCAAACTAAAATTAATTTTTTTAAAAAATAATATATATATATATATATATATATAATTACTGTATATAGGAGAGCAATAGATCCGCCCCTGCTTGGTGACTAGACTATTGTCGGAGGACTTCTTGAAAAAGTGAAGAATACAATCACATTGGGCATCAAGACTCGAACTAATTTATTCTGTCATTTTAATTTGCAAAACTCTTTTGTGCAGGTAGTTTACATTGCCTATATCTATTCTTAAGAATATTTCTCAGCTTTGTACCAGGTTCTTATGAAAAAGGAAGAGATGTTTTAGCTCAAGACGTCGAAGTTAAATGAAGTTAGGCCTAGGGCTGTAAACGAACCGAGCTCAGCTCGACTCGAAAACTCTAAATAGAGTTTGATTCGACTCGAAAATTCGCGAGCTTATAATTTTCATGTTCGACTTGAACTCAAAATCATAATTGAAGCTCGTAAAAGCTCGAAAAAAACTCAAAATGAAAAAAAATCTTGAACTTAACTCGATTGAAGCTCAAATTCAAATTCGAACCTGAACGTTAAATACATAAAAACTTTATCCTGCATTTTTAAAAAAAATCAACACATAAATATTAATGATATGTTTTTGCCCTTATAATTTTATAAGTTCACCTCTAAGATTTTAAAAGTTCATCCTCTTGACATAAGATTCTGCGCCTGTCATTGATTAAGGACATTGTTCCTAGTAGGGGTATGCCCAGAGATAAATTGCTCTGTAAAATTGGAAGGACTGAGATTCTTGAGCTATGCAGGTTACAAAATGTTCCAGAATGATGACAGAGTGTAGACTGTAGTGCATTGGATGAATTCAAAATTAAAAGGGGGAAGTTTTATCTGTCATTTTGATATTGGCGTGGATTGCTATGATATATTTTATATGGCAATTTGCAGCTCAATCTTATGATGAAAGCTGAAATCAATAGTATTAGCAGCATCAAATGAATGGAGTCGATTCTCATAAATATATAGCCGGCAGAGTTGGTTGTATGATCAAGAATTCAATTCTTCTGTAACTTAATCCCTGCAATGCTTAAATCAAGTTCACATGTTTTCATGTAAACAGGTTGGCAATTTGCTTTGCTTAAATCCGACTTAATAATTAAAACACCCAAAGCTGCACCTTCAATTTTGTGAAGAAAAAGATTAAAAAAAAAAAAAACTTGTCCGCCGGAAAGAAAATAATTTCAAACAATAGTACAAACTTGGAAATACGACAAATAAATAGATCATCTAATTGTCTTTGTTTTTTTTTCTATTTTATTATTGGTAGCATTAATATATTTGTTATCCAGGCACATTAGCAAGATTCAGTAATGCCAAAACCTGACGATATAAATGTAACCAATACTCAACACTACTCATTCCCGACGCAGGAAAAAAAGAAGCAGCGGCAAAAGAAGGCAAAATGGGTGCGTGTGCTTCGTCAACCTCAAACTCGAAATCGGAGAAAGCTGGCGGAGGAGGAGCGAGAGGGTCATGGACAGCGGCCAAGGTGGTGGACATGAATGGTGGTGTTCAAGAGCTGAAGCAACCGATCCAAGCCAAGAAAATCATATCCCAGAACCCAAATTGCTTCCTTTGCAGCTCGGAATCCATGAGCATCGGCACTTGCGTGCCCCAAGTCCCCGACGACGAGGAACTCCAACCTGGAAAAATTTACTTCCTGATGCCGCTCTCCCATTCCCATATACCTCTTTCCTTGCCGGACTTGTGTGCTCTTGCCATCAAAGCTAGCTCAGCAACTTACACTGTTGACCTTTGCTCAACTAACTCTAATCCCTTCGAGCTATGCATGTGAGATTTCAATTCAGCCTTTATTTTTCTGCTCGGAAATGTGATTAATCGTAAAAGTTGGTGATTGGTATTTCAGTTTGTTTAGAAAAGTAGCCATCTTGATGAACCATTATTAATTCAACGAGTTATAATGTTTAAACAATAACGGTCCAGCCGATGCTACTATTATTATTGCCCTTTCTTGCGGTGTGTTAATTCAATTTCCCAGTTGCCACCTGCACTTTTACACAATAATGTATAATTTTATGTACTATTAATAAATCAGATAATAATATATTATAATTTAAACTTACTTTTGATAAAAGGCATTATCACATAAAATTATATGTAATTAATATACCAAATATTTATTTTATCTTTAATTAAATTAAATAATTTGAAGATAAAATTAAAGGGATTAAGTTATTGACCCTTGCATCATCATCTACTATCTTATCTACAGAATTTCAATAAGTTAAATCAAGAAAGGATATGATGAAAATGGGATCCAGTGGAACAAGATATTAATTTTTTTAAGTAAGGTCAGAAGATCGAATTCTAATAATTGCGAATAAAGTAAACTGGATTTAGAGAATTATTCTTGCCTCTACAGTATCCTATTCAGATTAATTGATCAAGAGAAGGAATAAATTTGGTTATAAAAAAAATAAGATTACCTAATTTAGGAATCAATTACAAGGTAGAGTAAAAAGGCAAGCTATCACGATTTTAAAAATGTATTAAAATAGACCATAAGAAAATATAAAGCTAACGAATCATTAAACGCGCGTCACATGGAGCAAAGCGTGAGATACAGATCAATGTCAGCAAGGTCACGTGCAAATCGCAATGTTCATTAAAAGAAATCCAAACTCTTTAATTAACCAAGTTGACCAGATCTTAATAAACAAAAATAAATGTAAACTCCACCCTTTTTCCAGTGGCATAAGCCGACCTAATGCCATTCCATTTCCCACGCTTCTCTGCCTACTCAACTATATTTTTTTATTTTGTTTTCTGGGTAACGGTCACCCATCTATTATTTAGTTTCAGGTTTGGTCATTTCATTATTATTTTTTTCAAAATCACATTTGATATTATGTTTTGGTCACCACCATTAAAAAATTAAAAAGGTGATACTGACATATCACCATAAGATAATTTTATGTTATCATTGAAAATTAATTAAAAAATATCACGTTAGTATCAATGTTAATTTTTTAACGAATGATGAGTAAAACAAAAATAATAGTTGAGTGACCAAATAAAAAGTTTACCCTACTTTTTTTTAAAGAATTCTAATTATTTATTACATTAAAAAGTTGTAATCCAAGAATAAAAGTGATTTTACGTGATAAAGTTCGCCCTATCAAATCTAATCTCTTAAGAATAATTATATAAATTAATTAGATTAAATTATAAATCATCGTGTTTAGCATAAATCTTTCATCATCGAATTACAAACGGTCATAATTCGTCTAACTTGTGATGTAATAATTTTTTCCAGCAGATTAGACCCATCCTTGAATGTTCTATAAATTATTTCTATCAACAAAACACTTAACCAGCACTAGTATTATACTATATGCGACAGAGAAATGACGGCCACTATCTTGGTTGCAGTCCTGGTTCTAGCTATTAGCCGTGACGCAATCCAGAGTGTATCTCGTCCGATGGCTCCATCGACGTTGCCAAGCGCAGCCAGGGAATTCCTGGGAGCACACAATCAAGCAAGAGCCGCCGTTGGAGTCGAACCTCTCAAGTGGAGTGCTCAACTGGCGGATGCCACAGACCTCCTCGCGAGATGCCAGAGGAACAAAATGAGTTGTCAGTTTGCCAACCTGAAAGATCACAAGTAAGGAACAAAATGGGTGAAAGAGAAGAGTTATTACGATTATGCAACCAATTCTTGTGCACAAAATCATAGGTGTGGAGTTTATAAGCAAGGGGTTTTGAAGAACTCTACGGAACTGGGGTGTGCTCAAGCTACACGCAAGAACCAAATTAGTTTAACCATTTGTTTCTGTAATCCTCCTGGAAATTATGTAGGAGAAGGACCAAACTAGATTCATGTTAGATATTTACAGCTGCCTGTAGGATCCGATCTATGTTTTTCTGGGTAATATCCTTAATTTGGATCCAAAATAACACTGGCATTTGTTGTTTTTATATGTTTTTGAACTATATATATGAATATTATCCGGTTGGACAGTTTGATTCCGTTTAGAACTCTTCCTGGTTCAAAATTCTCATTTCTTATCTCTTTAATCTTCGTTCTTATTTTATGTAACTGTCTTATCCTTTCGTCATTTCTCCTTGTGGAGCTACGCTGTTATTAGGGAAGACGAATCAAATAAATGAAATCATAGATGGACTTGAGGAATCTATTAAGTCAAATTATGGAGCTTTTAGCGTCACTGAGAGCATTCAACGGATTAATATTTTCCCACTGTCTACCTGGTGCTGCAACGCTGGTCACTGGCACCTTCATTTGTCCCATAAATTCCAGAAAGGTTAAGCTTTGTTTGAAAGAAAACAATGGCACAACAGAATTCACCGGTTCAATCAAAGGCGGTGTTCTCCTCATAGTACTGGACCCTGTCCCTGATTCAGGTATCACACATAGTGTTGGGACCGTCGGCGCACCCCATGACGCAGCGGAAATAAAATTTGACGGTCTCACCAACGATCCAAGTACGAAAAACTGAAATCGAGAGGAAGAGATGCGAATACTTACCGTGAGTTCCTTGAAAAACAGCAAGGACAACAGTGAATATTGGTTGTGTAGATCGGTTCGAATCTTAAGCCTCCACGAAATCATGTCTCGGCCTCTACTCAGTTCACCCGATTGAGAGCAATCTTTGTTTTCCCAAAACTCTTTTGAGAGAAAACGACTGAAGGTTTTGAGTGTGTGTTGTACAATGACTGCTAGACCTAACACACCATTTTATAGCCAAGTTACCCTAATCATATTAGGGTTTTATTATTTCAAATTAATTAAATATATATTTAATTAATTGGAATTTAATAATCCTCTTATATCCAAGTTACCGTAATTATATTAGGGATTTTATTATTTCAAATTAATTAAATCTATATTTAATTAACTGAAATTAAATATTCAGGATTATTAAAACATATATTTAATTAACTCTAGATATATATTTTAGTAACGTACAACAATTGTACATCTTTGCTTGTTTCAATCCTAGGGTGTGACCTTGTAGGTTCTTGTAACGTTAGCAGTAATTATTAGAACAATTCTAATATTACATACAATGAGTGACATCTAGCAATATATCATTGTCACCTAAGTTACAAGAAAATATGATTCGACATATCATCTTGGTGATTACTCTTTTATGTATTACATCCTTATGTCATTTATATCTAGAATAGACACAAGTCTTGGAATAGTCACACTTGTATAGCCCATCTATTGTTTCTTGATATCTAGAGTAGACTTTAATTAACGAATAGTTTATGATATCTCATATCAACTTATTCGAGCATGACCATGCGTTTCTAGTCTTACTCAATCAAGTGGCCTGTGATATATTTTCTATTATGTAGGAAGGACAAATTCTATCTTAATCATACACACCCACTACATATATTGAGATATATTCAATAACAATCTTTATAGAGCAACCAGTTACGGAGCTTGTTTAGCTGCATCAAAACATACAACAATATATGTTGGGATAGTATTGATCTCAAGTCTGAGAATCATACATATAGTCATCACCATGAGCAATGTTATGACTGTCACATAATAATCCAAGACATATGCTCATGGTCGGTCAATTCAATACATTGTTCTCTAACAATATAATCATGTATCAATTCTGACATCTCTATGTCAATAACAACTCATTGTCATCAATCAATAACATGTTAGTCTTAAGCGTATTATTACTGTCCATGCCCATAATAATACTTGACTAGGGATCTTTTAATAATAACAATTATGTCATTATATAGACTTTATTATCTTTCAGTTTATGTTAAACACATATATATAAATGAAAATAATAGCGGCAATGCCTTTATTCAATAAAATCGGTAAATAAAAGTATTATTACAATCATCATATGATTGGTCTTTGGGCATACTCTAACACAGGTGGCTAACGTATTGCAATGGGGAAAGGTAGGCTTTGCCAGAAGGTTGGAAGTTGGTCAGGAGGAGAAATGGGTGCTTGAAATGATGCAGATGGTCTTGTATGGAGCCGGGTTTTTACCGCAAAACGGTTCGGACGCCGGTGGGTTCAAGTACTTGAGAGGCCAGTTTGAGCGAGTAGTTGGTTCAGAGGCTTACCATTTGGTAGATCCTGCATATTGGTTAGGACAAGATGAGTGTTTTCTTTCTAAGTAGAACCGTTTCCTTCTGCTTTGCAACTCGAATAACAATTAACAAATATATACGAACCACTATGCACACTAACAATTATGTCACAAATGATGAGCCACATTGCCATATCTAATTGTATTCCTTTTGGTTTCTACTCTTTTTACAAATTAAGACTTGAAATATTCCAAAATGAAAATGCTTTCAAAGTGCATCTTCAGGCTCAAGAACCATGCCTTGATGCATGCACTCGATCATCTTACTAATTTTTTAGATATAAGATACCTAAAGGTAAAATTATGAGGAATCCATTCAATGCTCTTGCGTGATTTCCCTTGCTGACATTTTCTGATACTGCAACGAAGTGATTTTGGCAATAACTGTTGGAACATTTCCGTGAGACCATGACTCTACAATCTTTGGTAACAGAATTTTCTTGTCGCAGACACCGAACGCAGCCCGGATGTACTCTTCTTTTGCGGTATCCAGTTCTTGAAATACCCTCTTCGATGCATAGGCACATATCTAAAGAAATGAAGAAATGTAGCATGGAAATTAAATTGTTTTCGACTGGTTCTTGTCGTACCCTTGGTGCTAACTGCTAATAGTAAAGAAAAAACACAGATCAAAGAAAATATAGTACAGCGGGATCCGAATGGTTTCCTGAACGAGTGCAAAGAGTAAAGGGGTTCTGATTGTTCAATTGCATATGCCTGCTTTTTGTCTCCTGATTTACATTTTGCCCTTGAAGAAAGTAAAAACCGAGCCACTACACAAATCAAACACACAGTGAATATTAAAACTAGAATTAGATGCTTGATACATCTTATATGAATTATCATCTTGTCAGAACAAGGTCTTTAACAATCTTAAGTAATTAAAGAATCGAAACTGATAACGAGACAGACGAGGCTTGAGATCTACCTGTCCCGGACTAGACATACGACATCCAAGGATGGAACACTGTATGGTATCTGCACTGATGGTGTGACCTCCAATGTTATATGCAGCCTGTATAAAGGAAACAAGCGTGGATTCTGCTCAATCAAACCAGAGCACGTTCAGCCTAAAATCATGACAAATATTTGGTCATAAATTCCATACGTGTAACTGATTCTATCCTTGTATTGTATACATGTCAACTGTAATCTCTAGCACAATTCTAGCATTATCATTTATGTATTTCCTAAATTAATTTCTCTCATTCTTGTATATAACTACATAGAATCTCTATCAATAGAGTGTGAGAAAATATTCATTGAAACCTCTGCAGTGCTTATCTTCTATATGGTATCAGAAGAGCCGATCTCCACCGAGCCACCGATCCAAGTAACTACAATGTCTTCCTCCGATCAAACTCCTAATTTTAATCTCAACACCCAACCCCCTTTCACATCCGAAAAACCCCTTATCGCTCTCAACATCACTGCCCGAATCAATGAAAATTTGACTCCCTCCACTTTTCCTCAATGGCTTGCTCAATTTGAAGCACTTCTTATTGGTTATGATCTTCTCAAATATGTTGAAGGCACCTTTTGGTGTCCCTCATCAGATGGCACCCCGACTGAAGAACTGCGCAAGACCCACTGGGTCCGACAGGATAAGCTTATCCTGAGTGCGATTTTATCCTCTACCTCTCCGTCTATCACACCACTCATTGCTACCGTAAAATCCTCCTATGAAGCTTAGAAAAGGCTCACTCATCTTTATGCTAGCCGATCTCGAACTTGTGCAATGCAGTTAAAGGAGGAACTTACCTTAATCTAGCGTGGAAATAGGACCATCACCGAATATCTCCATGCTATTAAGATTGTAGCCGATGAATTAGCCATCATAGATTATTCAATTTCGGATGATGACCTAACACTTTATGTATTAAATGGATTAGGTCCATATTTTTGGGAGATTGCAACGCCGATTCGTACCCGCAAGTTATCTCTGACTTTTGAGGAGCTGCATGACCTACTGGTTGGTCACAAGGCTTATTAGAGGCACTTGCAAACTGCAACGCAAAACTTAGTTGTGTCTGCCAATTTTACGAAGATGAAAACATCGGCAAATGGGGGAAGTCATCAGCGTTTCTCTAAACACAATGACCATTCCCGTGAGCCTCAAGGCTCCAGTCCAAACCGGTACTCAAATGGAGCCCAACATGATGGACGTCGCCCCAATACAAGTGATGGTAAGCCAAATCACTCTAACCGGCGCTATCAACCCAAGTGCCAACTGTGTGATCAGTTAGGCCATACTGCCAAGGCATGCCCTCAGTTTCATTATCAGAATGTCTCTATCAATTGTACGGGAAAAGATAAAAATTGGCTACTTGATTCAACCGCTTCTCATAATATCACAAGTGATCTTTCCAATTTATCTATTCATTCTGAATATGATGGAACCGCCGAATTATTTCTCGGTGATGATTCAGGTTTGGCCGTCTCACATATTGGTTCTTTGTCTTTACACTCTCCGCATCGAACATTTACATTAGGTGATACTCTTTATGTTTCCAATCTTCATTATGTCATTCATGTTCTATTAATAAAGCATATCAATAACTTTTTTGTGTCACAAGTCTCCAAAGTCATGAACCTCTTGAACTTATTTACACGGATGTGTGGGGACCCGCCAGTTATATTGGGATTGATGGATCACAATATTATCTTATTTTTGTTGATCATTATACAAAATATATATGGTTTTATCCCATGACCACCAA